GCCGGGGCCCGGGGAGAGACGGCGGTGCCCAGTCATCAGGGCCCGCGGCCAGGCCTCAACCCGTCCCAGGCAGTGGCCGCTTGGTCGGGGCCGATGTTCCCACGGGAAACCACTTGCCGTGCGCTCTCAGCTGGACTGTGGGTCACGCTGAAGCAAAGTCACAACCGAAAGCGGAGCCGCACACAGCGCAGGGATGCCTCCTCCTGGAAGCCCCGTGGCCCCTGGTGCTTCCTCACTTTGGCATCTGTCAGGGGTGCGCGTTCCCACAGGTGGCAGCCAGTCGCCCTAGCTCAGGTGGGCGGGGCTTACAGGGGACGTGGAGGTCGGTGCAGGAGTCCGTGCTCTGCTGTTTCTGTTGGGGTCCATCCCGCTAACCTTTTGCGAAGTAAATACGTTGATGCCTTCTTTTGCTCTCGTTTGACACTGGCGGCTGCAGGGTGCGCGCTTGGCGCCCTGTGCTCTGCCTCTGTTCTCTGACTTTGCACAAGGGAATCCTCACCGGTGGGGTTCATGTCGGACACCCCAGGTTTGCAGATACCGTCTACCAGCAAGGCCTCTTAAAAAGTGATATTTACCAGGAGGGACCCCCACAACCCGGAATCTTTTTTAAAAACGTTGTACTTTATATTCTTACACCTTTAAACGTCAGTCACCTTCCAAGTTCTCTCCCCTTGATGCAATACACCTATCAAGATGCTTTTTCCACTGCTTAAAACAGTTTTTGAACTCATCAATTGATGCCTTTTAGTGCTTCTGCCATTGTTTGTTTCACCTCTTCCACATTGGCAGAATGTTTCCCTCTGAGAACTTTTCTCATCTGGGGAAACAAAAAAAAAAAAGTCACTTGGGGTGAGATTGGGTGAATAGGGAGGGTGGGGCATGGGGTCGTGTGGTTTTTGGTCAAAAACTGCTGAATACTCAACGTGGTGTGGGCAGGTGTGTGTGTAAATCACCCTTCTTGAAATAGGCAAGTGTGTTTAAAGACTCTCCAAAACAAAAATTCGCTGAAGCCGAACACAGCCTCTCAGCAGCGCTAGCTGGTCGCCTGATGCCAGTGGGTCCTTCAAACACTCACCTAGCAGGGAAACCTGGACTTCAAGGGGCCTGCCCTCCAAAAGATGAGTCCATCTTTTCTGGGGTTCCCCCTCACCCACGTCATCTTTTATTGCTTATAATGACTCCAATTGTGAAACGTGTCACACCAGTGACCTTTAGGTTATAAAATCCACCTCACTCTTCCCCTTGTTCACATCTGCAGACATCGGGCCACCTCCAGGCTTCCTGCTCCCTTGTCGATTATTCGTCATTACGTTGTCATGGGCTTGCTTCTGTGTGTTGGCCTGTGCCTGATTTCTTGCTGTTCTAGGTGTCTTTACTTGGTTTTCTTCTCTGGAGGGCAACTGTTCTGTGGTCCCTCAGTGCTGTGACTAGGCACGTGCTGGGTGGTGGTACTAGCCACACGGCTCTTGAGCGTGAGCAGGAGAGAGCAGGGAAGAACTGACCCTTTAACTTAGTTTAGTCACACGTGGCTCACAGCCACCCGGCCGACATCTCAAACTTCATACTTTTGGTCCAGAAAACCTCCATGGACCCATGTGGGTCTGTGCCATCACGGGCCAGCACCCGTCCCCACAGCCCCCGCTGCCATTGTGTGGTCACTGTGACTTTAGCAAACATGGCAGGAGGCCATCATCCACACGGGGAGAGGCATGTCTGCCCTCTTTGCCTTTGCGATGCACAGCACAGGCCTCAGAGAAATGCCCAACAGATATTTGTTGAATGCGTACGTGAACTTCCTGAGGGGAGGCCTTGCGCCTTGAGATTCTCTCTAGGGCCTAGGCCTGACTGAGCGTCCTGCACTCCAGAGACCTGTGGGTGATGGGGCAGACGTCATGGAGGAAGCAGACAGGGCTCATCAGAGGTGTGCTCTGAGTGTTCATGCGACTAGGTTACTTTGTTTGGAGTCCTCCAGGACGGAGTTCTGGAGGCAGTTGGGTGAGAGGCCTCACAAGTCCAGCAACTGTGGACATATCGAGGGTCTCCCGCTGACAACTCATGGATGCTGCTCCTTGGGCTGTAGCACAGTTATGTCTCGAGGTGTCTCTTGGCCTCAGTGATGCTCTTGCTTGGGGGTCCTGGCAGCCCTGAGAGTCTGGACAGGTTGTGGACGTGCCTGCTCTGTGTGAGGCCTGGACCAGGGATCCTTGAGAAATCATGAGATACCAGTGTGGTGTGCCAAGATGCTTTTGCCCAGAGCTGACTTGGGGTGATTGGCTGGCTGGCATTCCTACAGCAATCAAAGCTGGGGAAGTGTGGTTTAGCGGTGGTGAGTATCTGGGCCTTTCATTCTGTGCACGGTGGGTTGGGGCTGACTTTTGATCTGTGTCACCTGTCAGCCAAGTAGGATTTGAAGTGAAAGCATGTGCTTCATCTGGTCCCATGGACCTTGACATTTGACCAAGAGTCAGGTGTCAGGGTCTTCAGATGCAGACATCGCTTTTCGGGAAGTACGCTGAGACCGTATGGGAGTTTGTAGAAGTGTAGTTAGCGTTCTTTGCAGGGACAAAAGATAGATGCTGGGTTTTTCGTGAGGGAAAGGAAATGGGACTAGTAAAAAAAAAAAAGCCATGAAGACACAGAATACAGAGAACGTTCACCAACCTGGTCAGGTGAGAGCGTAGCATCCCTGGACCCGAAGTGTCAAACGTGTGAAGTAATGATGTTGCTACGTCTCGTGTATGAATGATCTTTCCACCTCCAGTCCAGGCCTGAATATTAAGTGTCGCAAGGCCCCATTCTAGCTCCTGTGGGAAGCGACCGTTGTGTGAAATAAGGTCCTCATCTCTAAGGGTCTTGACAGTCTACAAGGAAATGAGAGGTGCTCTGGGGTCACTTTAAAAACATGCTTCTGAAAGGGAAGCCCCATCCTATGAAAGGGAGATCAATCAGTGGCTCCTCTTCACCAACCAGAAAGGTAACCCTGATCACTTTGCTGAAGAGTTGAGAATATAAGAATATATCTGTGTCTCACAGTGTGATTATGGTCGGATTAATCTTCCTAAAACAGCTTCAGCCATACCACTCTCTTAAAAAAGAAATCAGTGGTTTCCCAGAGCTCCCGGACTTAAGTGGTTTGGTCTTTGGTCAGATAGTTAAGTTCTCCTTAGGATAACCCTGAAAACCATGGCAGCCTTACCTCTCACTGTTTTCCTGGCCGTGTCCCAAGTTCCAGTTTACTGTTCCTTTCACCTGCCCCCCCCCTAAATTTCTACCCCAATTTCTGCCCGCCTGCCTTTCAAGACTCATCTCAGGTGATACCTTCTTCACTGCGCCATTTCTGGTTCTTAGAAGCTCCTGATGCAGATGGTCCCAGAACTTGGGTGATGGGACGTGTCCATTTTGTCTCATCGTTCAGAGTTAGGAGTGATGTTTTGTTCACCCTGTAGGTTGTAGGCTCCTGTACAAGTGTGGACCACCTGCCGCTCATTTTCATATTCTCTGACATGTCTAGAATAGTGCCTTGTACGTAGAGGATCCTTCATTATACTTGTTCTTTGTCTTTCAAGGTCGCTACCTGCTCTGTGTAGAATATTTGCCCAACGTTACTGTCAAGCAGACAGATCCCAGCCAGGAAGTTGGGGGAAGTCCTGAGTTGGGATGACCTGGGGTGTGGAAGGCGGCGCCTTGGTGGGGTGCCCTACATCTGGAGTTGGTTGTGTTTGAGGGCCATAGTGCTATAGGACACCCCTTCCTTGACCTTGTCACTTTCCTATTTATGTGGCAAGACTGATGTCAAAGTGATTCCAAATATTCGATGGCAAGTGCTTTTGGCATCCAAGAAAATTTGAATACCTTTAAAATAGTAACAACTGGATTAGATTATTTAATATATAATATGCATGTCTGTATAAACATGTGAAACAAGTTGGAAAGAAACCAGTTAGCTCAGAGAAGTGACTTTTCTTGGACTGGGTGGCAGTGGTGCAGGAGACTTGGATGTGGGTTGGTAACTGAGGATAGTGGAGTGCTTGTTGGGGAACAAAAAGGACATTAACCTAGTGCTAGGTTAAGCTGTTGGTGACCTAGTCTTCACTTCTCTCTACTGAAGTAACCTAAAATCATTTTTACCTGGTTTAATAATATTTTCAGCTTATATTTACAAACAGAGGGATTCATGACTATTTCAGGTTTTGAAGATCTGATGTGAAGGAGGCACTTTGTAAAGTTCAGGGTTTCTCCGCGTATCTGCTTTCTCCGGCATTTCTGAGATGTAGACCAGGGTGCCTCACAGTCTAACTGAGAGCAGCTTTGCTCTAAGCACTCATGTTTCCTTGGAAGAGGAGGTCACATGTGCCACAGGTTCTAAAAAGGCACAGTCTTCCATCTCCTATGGAGACAGAATGAACAGACCTTGAACCTTGCTCAGTGGAGCAATCTCAGTGAGCGCTTTGATTTCTAAGAGTGAATGATTAATTTTTGCTCAAGTTTACTGGGACGTCAGCACATGATGGAAGCACTTTAAGCGTGTTCGTGTGCTGAGCACATGGTGTGAGCTGTGGGGTGATGGGTGAGGGACCCAGGGTCAGAGTCATGAGGAACTGGAGAATCCTCTAGGGTGACATGCCCTGGTCTGTTTTGCAGGCAGGTGCCACCACTTAGATCAGCTCAGCATTCGGAAGTGTCTTCCCCTGCCAGAGCTTATTCCTCCTGGGCTTTGTCTAGAAGGGTTGCCCATGCAGCCGACTGTAGAAGCGGCCACATGTGCTTTTAATGACAGTTTGCTGGGAGGTATTGTTTTCCTTTCATGAAAGAGGTTCTTGCAGGTCGAAGTTGAAGATGTCAGTGGATTAGACATTGGAAGAACTTCCAGACTATTTGTGATTGAAGGCACAGACATGAAGTAGAAACATGTTCATTCTTTCTTCTTGCAGGTGGCTTTCTAGAAGATGACCATAGAGGAACTTCCGGAGTTCCCATTAGAAGGCAACCGTCTGTTCGGAAGATACCCGTTTTTATTTTCTGGCTCTGACACGCCCGTGACCTTTTCCATCTCTGCAGCACCAATGCCTTTGGACTGTGGTATGTTACCCAGTGCACTTATTCACTGGGACCCAGTGGCTTGACGTGTATTGGGATCTTTTTGCACTCAGAATTTTTCCCAAAACTATTCTTATGGTTTTATAAAATTGCTAAAGTTTTCCTTTTTTAAAAATACAATTGCTTATTGCTTTTTCTGCCTCTTAAGCTAAATGCTTTATTTCTGCTGTCAGCATTTATATTATGTTAAAATGTTCATTTTAAGCTCCATGATGGTGTTAGAGGATTTTATTTTTAGAATGCAATGGTGCTTAGACATCTAGCATTCTTCTGCTATTGATGTATTTATTTTGGTTAAATATACTGAATTGCTAAAAAAAAAAAAAAGGCCAAGTATTTAGGCAGAGAGAGTGAGCTGCCCTCCCCTCGAGAGAGTGGAGCAAGATTGGGCTAATGGTAAAATCGGTTCATTTAAAACTTCTCTGGAAAATGTTAATTTAGAAGCATTCCACTTTTCCTCTGTTTAGACTTACCCAGGATCATATTTTATCCAATGAGTAAAAGAAGACCAGGAGATATATTTGATAGCATTATTATATTTCCAGTTTAGAGTTTTTCAAGTAAAATATTGGGTCACTATTTCCAATTACCTTTGGAGGTAAAGATGGCACAGTTTTTAAATATTAGTAGTTATAAAGATATAAAGCGATTTGTCTTTTGAGTCATATTAATTCGAGTGCAGCAGTTCCTTACCTCCAGGTATCCATTTATTTCGTATTCAGATTCTCTAGCAGCTTACCCAGGGCAATCATCAAACGCATACATAACGCTGTCCTTGATCCTGGGAGTTATTTGCAGTTTTTATATAAATGGACTGGGTAAATTTTCAGGTACAACAAGACCAGTTATGCAGGGGGAACCTTGAACTAAAGTGCACTGTGCCTTCCTCGTGACACTTGTCTCATTCTGTCCCAAGTTACAATGGTCTTATCTCCTTTCCTAGACTCTGCTCTTTGAGATGGGTAGCAAGTACATTTTATTTGTATTTCTCTCATAAAGGTGAATGTAGTCATTTGTGATATTAGTTGCTCAATATTTGTTGAATGACTGCATTGAGTGAAAGGTGATCATGGGTACTCATCCCTTTGTATAAGTGAAATTAAGCATCGTCTGTCATCTTAGAAGGACAGATTTTTGGAATCTGAGTGAACCTATAGTTCAACTTTCCCCACTCACCCCCAGTATAGATATTTTCTTTTCAGGGTCTCTGACACAATAACCACTTAACCTCTTGTATGTCTTCAGTAGTGGGGAACCAGTGAATGGTCAATCTTATTGTTAACAAGTTGTAATCAGGTTGTTTTTGTATATATGGACTCAAAACTTGTCTCCCTGAAACGTTGACCAGCTGATCCTGGTCTGATGTATGGAACCATACTTCTTTATGGGGTAGCCTTAAATATCTGAAGGTAATTGGAACATTCTACTCACTCTGTGCTTCGTGGGCTGCACATTTCTGGTCCCTTCGCCAGGTTTTCACTGCCGGGACCTTTGGACCCTTTCCGTCCCAGCTGTGTCCTTGGTGTGCTGTAGTGCATGCCCCTTGAGGGGTGGCATGCACAGTTGAGTGTGCTGAGCAAGCGTTTATTGAGGCCCCTTGGTGCTGGGCACTGTCCTGGGTGCTGGAGATGCCACAGTGACTGGGACAGATCTCCTAGCAGGGAAGACAATAGACAGATGCATAGACACAGCAGGCGTAGATTCTAGTTAGTTCTGTGAAGAAAAGAGACAGGGGACTGTGGTGGAGGGTCCCAGGCTACGTGGCTACTTTGGGTCGGGGTCCTCTGGAGCATTGGAAGATGCTGCTTGTTGGAAGAGCCCAGGAGAAGAGCCACAGGAAGAAACACAGAAAGCTAAAGGCACAGCACTGGGGGAAACCTTGGTGTGTCCTGAGAATCAATGGACATTAGCAGAAAATGAGAAGGAATGTGCCTGGGGGAGGAGTGGGAGGAGCTGGCCACATACACAGGTCATGTGGGCCTCAGGAAGGCATGTGTATGTGACATGGACCAATGAGATTAAAGCCAGCAGGCAAAAGCAAACCAGTCCACACAAGCCAGAGCCATGCGATTCAACATGGACCCTCAAGGTGGTTGCCCTGTAAGATGAGATCCAACAAAGATTGTTGGAATCTTGCTTTGAAATGCCTTTGGAATCCATTCACATGAGCACACTTGGCATGTATTATAAACACCACATTACTTTATTATTATTTTTACTTAAGAAGTGAATTAGGGCTGGGCTCAGTGACCTATGTCTATAATCCCAGCACTTTGGGAGACTGAGGTGAGAGGATTACCTGAGCCCATGGGTTCGAGACCAGCCTGGGCGACTTGGCAAGACCTCATCTCTACAATAAATAAATTAAAAAAAAAATTAACCAGGCATGGTGATGCATGCCTGTAGTTCCAGCTACTTGGAAGGCTGAGGTGGAAGGATCACCTGAGCCCAGCAGGTCGAGGTTGTGGTGACTGTGAGCATACCACTATAGTACAGCCTGGGCAACAGAGGGAGACTCCAACTAAAAAAAAAAAAAAAGTGAATTATCAGTTAAAGGTTATTTTTAAAAGACATAGTCTTCTCACTCTATCATCCAGGCTGGAATGCAGTGGTGCAGAGCTCACAGCAGCCTCAAACCCTGGGCTCAAGTGGTTCTCCCATCTTAGCATCCCAAGTAGCTGAGTGCATGTCACCAGACCCAGCTAATTTTTAATGTTGACCAGGCTCAAGACATGTAAGTAGTGACTGAAATGTCTTGTCTTCCCATGAAGTGACTGTCTTTGGTGCTCTTTACTCCTTTGTATTGATCTAGATTTTCATATGATTATCATTTTCCTTCTTCTGGAGACTCAATGTTTCTCATAGTGCAGATCTGCCAGCAATGAAATTGTCCAGCTATTTCATATCTGCAAACATCTTTATTCTACCCTCTTCTTGAATGGTGTGTTTGCTGGGCACAGGATTCTGGGTGGATCAATGTTTTCTTCCAGTGCTTTAAGGATGCTGCTCTAGTGTGCTTGTAGTTGCATTGTTTTTGGTGGGAAGTCTGCTGCCATTTAAAAAAATCTGTATGTAATGTGATGTGTTTTTTTTTCCTGAATCTTTTAATATTTTCTATTTTGATCAACTTTACTATAATGCTCTTGGGTATAATTTTATTTTTCTTTCTTTTTTTTTTTTTTTTGAGTTGGAGTCTTACTCCGTTGCCCAGGTTGGGGTGCAGTGGCATACTCATGGCCACCCCAGCATTGACCTCCTGGGCTCAGGAGATCCTTCTGCCTCAGCCTTCCAAGTAGACAGAACTACAAGCATGCGCTACCATGCCTGGCTACTTTTTTGATTTATCATAAAGATGAGGCCTTACCATGTTGCCCAGGCTGGTCTTGAACCCGTGGGCTCAGGTAATCCTCTTGCCTTGGTCTCCCGAAGTGCTGGGATTACAGGCTTGAGCCAGTGTACCTAGCCAGGTATCATTTTCTTTATATTCTTGTGCCTGGGGTCTATTGAGCTGCTTGGATCTGTGGATTTCCATTTTAATCAAGTTTGGGAAAGCATTATTTAAAATATTTTTCTACTCCTCCCACTTTTTAGAGACTCCAGTTACATGTGTATTTGATTGCTTAAGGTTGTCCCACAGAACACTGATGCTTTATCCAATTTTAAAAACTATCTTTCTGTTTCATTTTGGATAGTTTCTATTGCTGTCTTCAAGTTCATTTATCTTTTATTCTGCCATGTCTCATTAATTAACTGCTGATCTCACCCAGTGCAATTTTCATTCAGTGGAGTTTTCAACTCTAACATTCGATTGGTCTTTTCTAGGTCCATGTCTCTAAGCTATCTTTGAACTTTTGGAATGAATTAATAATGACTATTTTAATGTTCTTTTCTGTTAATTGTAATATCTGTCAACTCCAAGTCTGTTTTGATTTATCATTCCCCTGGGTATGCGTCATGTTTTCCTTTTTCTTTGTGTGCCTGGTTATCATTAATTGGATGCCACACACTGTGCATTTTACCTTGTTGAGTGCTGGATGTTTTTGTTTGCTGTAAATGCTCTTGAGCTTTGTTCTGGGATGCAGTTAGGTTATGTGGAAATTGTCTGGCCTCTGAGGTCCCGCTCTTTTGATCTGGTAGGTGTGTCTGGAGCCGTGCTTGGTCTGGGTCTGATTACTCCCCACTGAGTACCCTAGTCAGTGCCCCGTGAATTCTTTCTCCAGTCTTCCTGGTGGGAACAGGCACAAATCCCATCATCCCTCTGGATGGTTCTCTCCCTTAGCTCAGGTGTTTCCTCAAGATGCTGAATTCCTGAGGAAGACCCTCTACAGCCTCTGAGGTTCTTTTCCAGTGTGTTTCTCTCCTCCTGTATTCCTGCCCTGTGACCTCCAGCTGCCTCAGTTTCCCAGGACTCTCAGCTCTGTCTCCACAACTCAGGGAGTCTGCTGGGCTTTTCCTTGGTCCCCTACTCTCAACTGTCATTCTGGAGACTGTCTCAAGGCCATGCCCTGGGACAGCTGCTGGACTATCTTGTTTGGATCCCATCCCCCAGGGATCAATCGCTGTCTTTCATTGGCTAATGTCCGATGTCTTGAAAACCCTTTTGTGTTTCCTCTGGTGTTTTGGTTGTACTAGACAGAAGGGCAGATTTGGTTCCTGTTGCTCCATCTTGACTTAAACTAGACATTGTCCCCTTTTTCTCCCCACACTCCACTTTCTTTTGATTCAAACTTTTTTTTTTTCCTGTATGGAAGTTTAAAATTCAAATGTGGTTAGATATGTTAATGTGTTGCATTATAGCTTGGAGGTTAAGATTGCGGTCCCTCTGGCTTTACTCCCGACTCAGCTGCTCACCAGGTGTGTAATCTTGAACAGATTGCTTATTGTTTCTTCAATAAAATGAGAATAATAATAGTACCTCCCGCCAATGGTTGTTATGAGAGTTAAATTAGTATGCATAGAGTTCAGAGTCCCTGGCACCTGTG